GGGGGGGGGGGGGGGGGGGGGGGGGGGGGGGGGGGGGGGGGGTGGATACCGTCGGCGGATGGGCGATGGCAGCACCGACAGGTGAGTCGCATGATTTGGCTGATCGCGATCCGCCGACGTTTCGCGCGAGAATTACAAACGACTTATGCAACTAAGTATAAACGATACATGAATACATGGACATAAAGTAACTATGCTATTTACAAGGCGATACGCCGAACACCTGAACTCTAGAATTAGATGAGGAAGGAACAAATAATAAGAATTCGTTTATTGAGAGAGAGATTGCATTTAATAAATTTAAGTAATTTGAAATGACTCGAGTGGGCAGAACTAGACAAAGAATACCAACATTTGTTGCATAGGAGAAGGGAAACTGCCCGAAAACCTTCCCAGTATTCTCGAACAGGTTATTACATAGATTATATAACATATAATGAATATACAATAAATGCATAAAACACACAAAGGAAACAAATCAATAATTATTATAGTACAGTCCTTTCCTGGTATTGATGATGAAATAAAAGTTGAATTCACTGAAGCTTTGCCTCGATATATAATCAGGTTAATTATAAAGGAAATATTGATAGTACGTAATCTCAGAATTTCTATTGACGTAGTCAAAATTAAAAAGGAACATGTAATTTCAGGATAGGACTGTTCAACAAATAAATCAAATCAATCAGAATATAAGTTCAGTTCAAACATAATTGAAATAGTTCTTGAATCAATGTATCAATCTTTGAGTTCTGAATATCAATTACTTTTCGTTGGCCTTTTACCATTTACCATATATCAAAATTTGCTCTAGAACAAATACTTCTCTTTCAGCAAAATCATGTATTCAATACAAAAAGGATAAAGTATAAGCATTTCTCAATATATTATTCATAGGCCTTATAGTTTGGATCGACACATTAATTCATATTAGCATAAACGGAATATTTGATCAATCAGAATTCACAAAATACTTAGTAGAATAATTATCAAGTCCATGAGAAATAATTCGCAGAATACTTATGAGAATAATCATCAAATCAATGAGAAACAAGTCGCAAAATACTTAGTAGAACAATTATTAAATCAAGGAGAAACAATTCTTATAGAAACGCACGAAAATGAATAATCAGTAGTTTGATAATAACGCAAGAGACGATTCATATGTTTCGCAAGAAACGCAATTTCATTGAATACTTCTTACGAGTAAGTTTAAAGAATGTTCGCAAAGTAACATAATGAACAATACGAAAATTATCTGATTAATGATAAAGGAACAATCGCACAAATAAGAAAAATAAAGTCTTTCTTTTTACTTATCACGAAAATGGTTGCAACCGCACAATTAATGATTTTACTTTAGACTGAGCTCAGTATAATAATAAGACTCGAGATAACTTTTATCGTCCTTTTCAAAAAGCGAGGAAGTTTTCCTCTTACTTGCTCTAGTGATCTCTGAGAATTGTAATATCCGAGACTAACCTTGAGAGGATTGATGATCTCTCTCGTAACGGTAGACGAATGTCTAACGTTCACTCTCTGTAACGATAGACAAAAGTCTAACGTTTCCACTAAAGTATATTTAAACAGGTTACCTTTCATAGACGATAATATCACCTCGGATGTTCACACAATGAATATAGGTATATATATATATATATATATATATATATGTAAAATTTCAATTTTTAACAACACCTGATGTTTATAATAAAAAAATTAGTCTAATTCACAATTAAATTTATTCCATCTTATAGGAGAAATTCTAAAGACCTTTGATATATGCACATTGTATATTAAGATGAAACTCACCTCAATACCATGTTCGAGCAAACCCATGGAAATTTTTGACCAAATTTTGGTCTTCTTTTTAGGATGATCAATGTTTTCTATATTTGCTTCATATAAAGCTAGTAATGCAAGTGTTGCACGTTTGTCCCAAACAGCTTCTAAAAGAATTAATTTATATTTTTTTAATTTATCACATTACTTATCACTTATGGGATTATTCATGATTAAGAAACTATATGTGAATGCCAGTTATACTAGTATATGGTAATATATTTGTATTAAATAGTATACATTATTATATTATTTTTATGATAAATTTTTCATTAAATACATACGCTGTTTTGTATTAACCGGCTCAGAAGATCCTGAAGATATTTCTGGAAGAATACATTCATCTTCCGATTGCTTTTTATTCATATCACAGCTATCAGATGCTAAAAGAAGGACGTTATATCGAGCCATAAGTAACCTTAACTTTTGCAAAACATAGTTTTTCCAGATACTTACATTGTTTTGTTGTAGTTGCAAAAAGAATATTGTTTTCTTTCATATAAACATCCTGTTCAATAAAGCATTGATGAATCGGTACGTCGTCAAGAGTTATTTCTGAAGAGCAATGCTCACATTGAAACATGTCTAAAATGTATTATCACAAAATACAGTTATTAATTTAGAATTTGGGGTTGCTCACGATACTTTTTCCCTCTCGTGAATTCGTGAAAATTATATTAGATGTATCGAGTATACTCGATACATATATGTAATTTTCACGAATTCTCGCTAGAAAAAAAGATTCATGATCGACCCCCTGATCGAAAAAAGTTTTTCACTTTTAAAGATTGGCAACAATGCCTACAGAACACACTCGAACTCTACACCGATGCTGTGTCGAGATGTGCTTCGCTGTGTCGTTGTTGGAAAGCACTGTGTCTGACACTGTGCCACACAGTATCGCCTGTGTTCCTTGCTGGAAAGCACCCAAAATTATATTTCAGTTTAATACAGATCACAAGTGAAGGATAGCGTGTTCCACGGCGAACAAGCAGAATTCGAGTACGCGCCACGTGTCACCCCACGAGCGCGATACTCATTCCGTCGCTGAACTGTACGGCGATCCCGATCGAATTCGTACAAGACTATTCTCCGACATAAATTGCGTCGAATTCTACCCGGACGGTCAAACGCGAAATACTCGAAACGTCTACGTCTAACAATTAAACAATTAGTGCAATTTCCTTACGATCTACCGCGACAACGCTGGGGATCTTCATTCCCCTCGAGACGCACGAATGGCCTCAACCGTAAACTCGACACAACCGTGGGCCATTAATCCCGATGAAACGCACGGATAGCCAATTACAAATGGCACGAACTTAACCGGCAACGATAACTACGAGACGCACGCGCGAGAGCCACCTCCCAAACTACGGCACGGTTAAGCCAACGACGATTCCAAAATTACACGCGACGAAATTGCCCGCAACGAAATTACACGCAACGAAATTACCCACAACGAAATTATACGCAACAAAAGTACACGAAACAAAATCACACGCAACGAAATTACAATCACGCTGACTGTCGGCGGCCGTACGTTTGCATCCCCGAGACGGGCACTCGCGATCACTTTGTCGCACGGGCCCTCCCGCGGTATGGCACTCGGTATGATTCAATTACGGCGGATTCCATGTATTCCCGCGGCACAACGCGACTCCCGGGAGGGCCTTGGTATTACCGCGATCTTACTTCGGGGAGGTTGAGCAGTGGCCTTACAAATTCTTCTGGTTCCGGCAGCTCGTCGCTCGGCTCGCAGGGCTGGATGTTGCCGGGATGGCGGCTCGCACGACAGTAACGTTCTCTCGGTCCGGCGGGACCACGCTGGGCCCGCGCGCGCCAGCGCGCGCCGGTTTCCCTAGCCTGGTCGGTGCTGCGCCCTGGCCTGCCAGCGATCCCTCTAGGCGATCGCCGCGCCTTGCGAGGGCGCCCCTCGCATCCGCTGTCGTCCGCCGGTGGTAGTTTTAAAAGCCCGCCTGTGTGAGACCGGCTGTCCAGGCCGCGACTCATCATCCGGTTGTTCGACGGCCAGGCTGGACGGACCCTGGCTCGTTGACCGGTGGCGGTTTCCCGGTGGTGACCCCGTTCCTCGACGGGGACCTTCGTCGGGGCGTCCCCCCTCTCGGGTCCTCCGTTTCCGGGCTGCAGTGCTGTTGTGCGGGCTATGTGGTGCTTTGACAGGCCAGCGGCTGTTCCGGCTGTGGGCTCCAGCGTGACCCGTCCGTCGACCGTCCGTCCTTGGAAGCTCCCTGCTTTCCAGCCGTAAGTCCCTCGGTGCGGCATACGCCGTTACAATTCCGTAACCCTGGCCATCTGCTCCGCACTCCCTCGACCTGTAACGCTCGCAAGAGATCTTAAGCCTAACCTAAGTTCGCTCTCTGCCCGCCCCGGGCGGAGGCACCATCCCTGACGCCTCCCTCGGCCGAGCTCCCACCTGGGGTGAGAGACGTGACATTTGTCATGTCACAATTTTTAATTATTTTTTTAAAAAGAAAATTGTAAATTTAATAATAATGATAAAGAATAAGGATGGGCTATTAAGCTTTGGCCCAATATTGGGCGGCACTTGCTTGCCAAGCCTCGGCTACCCAAATTCGGGTAATAGCACACACTCGTGCCAGTCTTGGCCCGTTTCTCGAGTATCGGCGTTTCCTACCTGGGGACTCTCTCGCCGTCTCGTTACGCTTCCCCTTCGTTAGCTCGCAAGAGTCTCGGATTTCTAAAAAGTTTTTATTAATGCTTTCCAGAATATTTATATAATGTTCCAAAATATTCTTTAAATATTCTTAGAATAATTAGAATGTTTTCAATATTTTTCCTAAAATGTTTATAGATTATTTTAAAAATATTCTACTAATATGTGAAAAATATTCTATTAATATTCTGAATATTTCATGTTCATTGCAATGTTCACAGATTATTATTGAAATATTCATAACAATTCTAGAAAAGTTTTTCAGAATATTCATAGCACATGCTATAAATGTTTAAGAATATTAACAAAATGTTCCGTAAATATTCCAAATATTCTATATTTGTCAAAATATTTATAGAACATTCTATGCATTTTTTAAATGTACTATATTTATTAGACATTTGTAGAATATTCTATGCATATTCCGAATTGACAAAATTTCATGGAATATTTATAGAACTTCTACAGAATATTCTGAATGACCCGTGGAATATTAAAATATTTATAGATTGTTTATAGCACATTTCTTGCATATTCCATGCTGTATGGGCTGTGATGGACATTTTCAATCAACAGTTTTGTCACCTTATTTTTAAATAAAAAACGAGTTTCTTATTATATAATCAAAACTACTCTCTTATTATAAACAAATTTTATAATATATAATTGTAATAATTAAAAATTGAAATTGTCTTAAATGCGAAAGAATACTATGAAAAAAAAACAAAATTGTTCATATTTTATTGCCAGATAACCAGATAAAAACTTCATTCAACAAAAACAGATTTTCTTATATTCCGTCTTTATTTTTTATATAAAAATGGAGTTTTACAGTGTAATTAGTCAAGAATCGTTTAATCTTTAATTTACAAAATATTTATGTATATGCGATATGTTTTTATGTATATTATATATGTCTATAACATTTTACCAAAACTGGTGGGTGGATTGAAATCGGTAGCAATTAAAGTCGATATTAAATAAAAATAAATCATTCTAACAATTATAAAACTTATTTTACTCAATGCTATTTTTAAGAAAATGGTATTACAATAATATCTAAAATAATTTTCTAATTGTTAATAGAAAAAGCTTAAACTTATAATTATAAGATTTTTTTACATTGACGAGAAAATGTACGAAAAGCAATGGGGCTAATTAAACAAATGTACATTCATAAAAACTGAGAAACGTATATATACGTTTCTAAATTTAGCAATATGCCACGTAATCTATGCTCTGCTCGTAAATACTGATTATATTATAGAAATTAATTAATAATATATCTATATATATAAAATGGAATGTCTGTATGTCTGTATGTATGTCTGTTCTTTATACACTCTTAAACTATTCGACCGATTTTGAAAGTATTGTATATGAAGTAGGGGTAGAATTTCCCGGGGAGTGTCATGATGTGTATAGTTTTTCGTTACCGATTTTTTGGAAACCGGTTTTTCTAATTTCTTTAATTTTTTGGGAAATAATTGACCGAATCTCAAAGAAATATATATGAAACAGGAGTAGA